AGTGGTTATTTGAACACTATCCATCACGATTTGTTCAGAAGGCAGTTTGCTTTCCAGGTAGACAAAATCCGGTTCCCTTCAGTTTTCTTGTATTAGCAGTACAATGCAGTGCACGGACATGTAAAGTCATAAATCAGGTATTCCTGCAGACGTGCAAGGCAGGACGGGAGAAGCACCGTCGGATGAGCACCGTGCCACGGGGCTGCTGGAGATGCTTGCATGCATCACCTCTTGAAATAATGCATAAAAACCTCATTGTGGAGAGATTTACTTTTTGGGTGATTTGGCTGAAGAAGTTGAGTTAAAAAGTAAATAAAAGCTCAAATTAGATTTATATAGGCATAATTAACCTCACTTTTTATAGAATAACACATACCCATACGAACTTTATTTAGCTCAGTCCTAAAGCAGCAGCTGTTGCAAAGTCTCTGGGAGAGATTTACTTTTTGGGTGATTTGGCTGAAGAAGTTGAGTTAAAAAGTAAATAAAAGCTCAAATTAGATTTATATAGGCATAATTAACCTCACTTTTTATAGAATAACACATACCCATATGAACTTTATTTAGCTCAGTCCTAAAGCAGCAGCTGTTGCAAGTCTCTGGAAGAGTGTTTCCCCTGAAACACACCAGCACTTCATGAATACTTATTTTTGCACCTCTAAATTTTTCTCTCTGGGGCTTTTAAGCAAGTTTTATTGTAGTGTTTATATAGCTACCTCAGTCTGCCTTTGGTTTATGTTTTTCTCACCTGAAGCCACTGAATTTTGAGTTTTATTAGTTATAGGTATCTGAAATCACATTCTTTTAAGAACTGACTGCACTAATAAAACTCCTGAAAAGTTTCTGTTTGAGGCAATTGTCTTCTGTGCAGGTATCTGATTCTTACTGAATTATACTAGAGATTAACAAGTTTTCTATGGTTGGTTGTTACCACGGAGGTAAATAACAAGAATCCCATCGATTCCAAGAAGTCAGGACCGAGTCAATCCATTGGAGAAATATCCAAGCAAACAGATTTTTTTCTTGAAATACATCGTAAAGGAGAATGCTGCTTAGCTTTTCTTGCAGAGAATAAAGAGAAATGCAGCTCGATCACCATCAAGCCAAGTCTCCACCTCTCAGGCCGGAGCAAAACAGCCTCTTCCAGGTCAAGAGGAAGGATCCTGCAGAGCAGGACTGCTCTCGTGCTCAAAAGCTGTGCGCTGCAGGAAAAGGTCAGAAGAGCATATTTCTTCCCCCCTTTAAGGATTTCCCTACTTTTTCTGCATGGTCCCAGAAGTGCAAGGGGTGCAGAGCTGGCCCCCGGTGCACACATCATCCGTGCCCTACAGCAACCAGCTCTCACCCTGTCACCACTCATTTACTCCTGATGACAGGGCTCCTTCTTCACAGGTTCAGGGCCCATAAATAAATCACAGTGCCCAGTGTTTTCCATAGACCTCTGAGGGAAACCTGTTAAATGTCTCCAGACCTGCCTTCCCTCTGGCTCTGCCTAGAGGAACCTGTGCAAAGCAGTGGTGGGAGCGAGCCTTGCTGTGAGACTCCAACCAGCTTCCTAGTCCCTCGTCAACATTGATGGGTTAATTGACACCTGTCATTGAAGGTGTAGCCCATTAACAGTAAGATGCTGTCTTCCTGGCACAGGGATAGCTAGTTTTCTCCTACCCATCTGAGCTGAGAAATTTTATTTCAAGTTTTATTGTTTGTCTTAGACTAGATGTTGCAAATATATACAAAGAATCATCATTCACTTAGGCAAAGGGCTCCCTTCCTTCAAGCCCACCACCCTTGCTGAGATGTATAAAGGCATCGCTCTAGCCACTGCTCATTTCTTAATTGCTTTTTTCCCCACCTTAGCAGTGGAGGCTCCTGAGCTGAGAAATTTTATTTCAAGTTTTATTGTTTGTCTTAGACTAGATGTTGCAAATATATACAAAGAATCATCATTCACTTAGGCAAAGGGCTCCCTTCCTTCAAGCCCACCACCCTTGCTGAGATGTATAAAGGCATCGCTCTAGCCACTGCTCATTTCTTAATTGCTTTTTTCCCCACCTTAGCAGTGGAGGCTCCCCATGCTCACGTGCAGGGCAGTGGACAGGACCCCCCCCCCCCGCAAGCGGGG